TGATGATGTTGATTCTGCCTCAAGATTTAGTCTTCTATATTTGAAAGTCAGATTTTACAGAGAGAGAAGTAGAGATAGAGAGTGAAGGTTTTCCATTCTAGTCTTTCCCAGTTTAGTATGATGCTAATATTGGGGTTTTTTTTTGGTATATTGCTTTGATTGTCTTATAGAATATTCCTTCTGTGCCTATCAGGTTTAAGCATGAAGTGGTGTTGTATTTTATTAAAAGTAGTCTCGACTCAAGCATTCTGCTGTTTATGAGCATCATGACGTTTTCGGTATAAGCAGTGGTAGGGAGTCTAGTATTTTGCTGCCTTGGTATATTTAGCATTTTTTTATTGGGGCCCTATTTTTATTCAGAAGTAGAGATGCATACTGCTGATCTTTGATTCCTAATACTCTGGTCTTCATTAAATTCTTTGGGAGATTACAAGTAATATCTTATATATTTTATTTTGTATTTTCGATGGATGTTGTCTTATATCAGAGTGCACATATCACATTTGTCCTTTGGGGATGATTGATTTCACTGAGCATAGAGGCCTCTCCAGGTGGGGCCACTCAGTTGCAAATGGTAGGATCTCATTGATTTTAATGGCTCATCTACTTTTTTGAGTCTTCATCTATATAATTTTTGGATTTGTTTTAACTCCAACAAGTAGTAACAGTCTGTCTCATTGTAATTTACTGAAGACTTAAAACTGGGGAGACCAAAGAGAAGAAAAATAAAATCAGTTAGGAAATGATAGTCTTTACTTTTATTCTGACTGTTTTTCTATATCTAACAAGCATTCATTGAATAATCATCAGTGAAGTTTGTACTCTATAGATACAACACTGGAAAATATGTTTTGCCTTCGTGGAATTCAGTAAAATTACATCAGTTACAGATGCATGCTCTATATAAATTACACTCAAAATATCGGAGATTAGTGTGGGTTACAATTTACTTATTGTAAATACAAAAAGATTCATGACATCGTTTGAGTTGTGTGCATTACTTTAGTCAGAAATATTTGAGACATATTTAAATGTTCACAGGGATTTTTCGTAATGAATCAATACTTTTCCTAAGAATAACAAATCTACTCTGTCTTTCTCCATTTCACCCTGGCAGTTATTAAGAGACAGTTGTGTTTTGTGAACTTGCTGGTAATGTTTTCATGTAGTAAGAAAACACAGCAGCTTTTTCTAATAATTAAATGTTCAAAAATCTAGACGTGTCGCTTCCAATTTATATAGTTCTATTTTCAAGCAGTGGAAGTGAAGTGAATTGAATAAAGATGAACTTGGTTTTTTATTCACTTGGTCAATACGTTTTTGTGTTCCTGCGTGCTTCCAACATCTATACATCTTTGAATGTCAGTCACATGTGTGCATTATTTCCCTGGTTTTTTTTAAGTAATGAAAAAACATGTCTTTTTAGTTCCTGATATAAAAAATTTATTAATGGTTCCTCAGTGTTGTGTTAATGGGAAGCAATTCTTTGATGTAACACAATTTCTTCCAATAAGTCTTCAATACAATTCATCTAAAAAGTTAGCATACCTGTGTGCTACCATAGTTACACTAATACATTGTTAGTTGTTTTTCCTCGTATCTCCTTAGAAAAACACCTCAAGTTTCAGCTTTCTTTATGAGACATGTCTTTCTTCCTTTCCTAAAATTCTTGTCAACCCTCTGTAGTCATCCAACACAAAAACATTAGATGTCCTCTGTCAATTAAAAAACTTATATCTAAGAACGTTTTTACAGATTGGTTCTACTCCCTAGCATTTTTTTTTAGCACAGCACTAAACTGAACAGACCATTTACTCACAATCCATAGTAAATTTTTTTTAAAAGATTTATTTTTATTATTTTTTTATTGGAAAGGCGGATATACAGAGAGGAGAGACAGAGAGGAAGATCTTCCGTCCGATGATTCACTCCCCAAGTGAGCGCAACGGCCGATACTATGCCGATACAAAGCCAGAAGCCTCTTCTGGGTCTCCCACGCGGGTGCAGGGCCGTCCTGGACTGCTTTCCCAGGCCACAGGCAGGGAGCTGGATGGGAAGTGGAGCTGCCAGGATTAGAACCTGCGCCCATATGGGATCCCAGGGCGTTCAAGGCAAGGACGCCGCAGGGCCCCATAGTAAATTAATGTAAAAATTTTGTAAGGCTATCATCTTTAAAAATGTTTGCTCAGTATACACATAACATTATTTCCTAACAATTATGTCGATAATGTAATTAAGCAAAAGGATATGTATGTGTACGATGAGTCATGTGATACAGTTGTTCCGCATGTATCAGTGCAAATGTAACTTGTATTATTGTTGAGTTTCAGCATTCAATGGCAGGGTAGAGTCTCTGTCAAATACAAAAGGGAACATGTTTGTTTTATGAAAAACACAAACACACAGAGGTGAACTCTCCTTCATTAGTTTCTAAAGATGTATGAATCCTCCTGACCAAAATTGCTAGCAGATGTTGGCTTTTGTATTTGGGATGATAAAAAGTATTATCTAAATTTATCATGATTCAATCTTAATATGAAATTGTAACAAGTAAGATTATACTTAAAATGTAATGATCTCTTTTTAAAATCTCTTTTCCAAGCATAAGCCAAGCTGTTACACAAAGTATTTCTAAGAAACCAAGGTCAGCATTAGCAACAGAGTCACATTGTTGAAGGAAGAGATTTGATGAAAATGTTATTCAGTATAACATAACCTAATCTAGCTTCAAATTTTTTTGAGATAGGTAATTGGAGATTGATACTATGTTCCTTCCAGATAAACTATTTGTATTAAGATGTGACTTCTGAAAAATAAATTCTCTCCATGTTTCAGCGATTATCTTTCTGTTCTGTTTTTCTAAAATAGAAGTTTTTTTTACATTTAGAGTGAAAAATAGCCTTCACTTCCGGATAGTCATCAAAATCTCTTTTTTTTTTTTTTTTTGACCACCACTGAGGAGTTTCAGCTAATGTCTCATGCGAAAGCTATTTGTGTGAGATTGTCACTTTTCATAGAATCTGAATGCCAAACATTAGGGCAGAAACCCATTTTCACAATCTGTTTTACGTCTTACAGCTCTTTCTGCTTTGACAACGGTTGTATGGTTAGGTCATGAAGCATAATGAACTGGGTTTTAGAAGTTTAAAAAAATCTAATTTCTGTTTCTTTTTATATTTTTCTTCATCCCAGAAAATGGAAGCAATAGTCAGTGGCAGGAATGATGATGAGATGGGAGTGATTTTAAATGTAGAAACTGTGCAATAGAACCATCCAGAGACTCTGACACATGCAGTACAGAGCAGCACTTTGCATGTACCTCTTTTGTTGTATCACGTGATCGTTTCATTATTTTGATCTTTCTCTTTACGTTAAGAACTCTTCAGCATTTGGGGTGCTTACCAGGAGATGTTTTTTCAAGGCTACTGTAGGAGACAGAGGTTACTGCCTTTCTAATATCTCTGTCCCTTTGTTTCCCCACTGATGGACGTTTCATTCCCTTTTACAGTAAGGGTAACCATGGGCAATTGTTCAGGCCAATAAAAGGCAGAAATAGTCCGTAAGCGCAAGAATCTCTCCTCCCAAGTAAATCTTTACTGGGAAGCAGTCTTCCTTCTGTCTCCATCCTGCTTTCAGTTAGGATATCCTTGGATGTACAACTGGTGCCGAAAATGAACAACAGTAGCACACAAGATGACAGAGCACCTGAAACTAAGCATATAAGTTGCTGTTAATTGGGTTTGATATTTATAGCCGAACACTTACCGCTGCTTTGTAGGTGACAAGAGGGGGAGCTGTGGCAGATACTGGGCAGGAAGTTTCTACGTGTGCACTCTAGTCAGTTTCTTCAACTTCCACGGAAAGTGTTTTGCTTTTTTTCCTGAGTAACATAAAATAGTCCGAAAGATCATCCATGTATGTGGTCAGACACTGTTCTCAGAAAACAAGTTAGTTAGTAAACACCACTCTTGTGAGATGGGAAGTTGCTTGGAAATTGGCTTTACTTCATTTTATTCCACGGAAATGTCTATGCTCCAAGGAACTATGAAGTTTTTAAAAGATTTGTGTAATTATTGATCAAATCTTGGCAACTCTACTATCCCATTTGAAATGTAATAATGGTTTTTGTGATTTGAAGCATTACTCTAGTGTTATATTAACTGAGGCTATCTTTCGTTGGGATCTTATATCAAAAATCGTAAAAAAAAAAAAAAAAGAAGATCACATGCTATGATATTAGAATGAAACTTGTAAAATTTTTAAACATTTTATTTTATTAATTAACTTAAGAGAGACAGATTTCCCATTTGCTGGTTCACTTCAGAATGTCCCCCAAGACGGGCCAGGCAAGACTGAAGCCAGAAAATCAAAACTCATTCTGGATCTAGCATGTTTGTGGCAAGGAACCATTGTCTGCTGCTTATAAAGTTGCACATTTGTAGGAAGCAACAACAGAGAGCAGAGCCAGGATTTGAACCCAGGAACTCCTAACTGGAGAAAGGCACTGAAGTTAGAGCTTAACTATATTTAATGGTTACCCCTGAAAGGTGTATCCAACAATCATCAAAGACAAATAAGCAATCAACAAGAACATTCACTCAAGTTATGATGTCCAATTTATATCCTTATATGTCATATTCTCATTAAAATTATTTAATTAGTACTTTTCACCATATATTCATTGCATAATATCAAATTAAATGTATAGTTTATGAAATATTATTATGATTTCTGAGGAAAATTGAAAGAGATATAGTGTCCTGTTAGCAGTGTTTCTGTCTTGGTGTTAAATTATAAGTAATTGTGATTCTTGTGTTTTTATGCCTTGGTAAATTTCTGTGACAATCTTATATATGTTTATATATATAGAGAGAGGGACTCTCTATAAAGTAAAGTAAATCTAATTTAACTTTGAAAATAATTTAAGAGCAAATCATTTTTGTTGACTTCCATTTCATCAATAACCATTTTGACAATAAATTTGCTTATTTTTAATACAGAAATCTTAAATGGTGGAGTCTACGTGGACCAGAACAAGTTCCTTTGTTATGCAGACACAATTCATTGGCAAGATATTGTTCGGAATCCATGGCCTTCCAACTTGACTTTGGTGTCAACAAATGGTAGCTCAGGATGTGAGTAACATTATCCTTTTAAATGATTCAAATGTTCTGATAACTCCAGTGAAAATCAATAACTTTTCTTCACTCATAGTATTTTGAACTTTGCAGCCACTGAAATGTTCAGATGCATGGGATAGGATATATGACTGTCCAAATGCTTACATCCAATTAATTCTTGTTTTTTTTTAATGGTATCACCCCTTCACACATTCTCATTTTCTTGACATGCTTCCCTCTTGGCTGAATTCCATTTATATTATCACATGTCAGTGTCCAAACAGGTGCGCCATTATCCATAAAATTCACGCTGGTGTCTAACAACTGCTTTGATTCTTGGCACTCCCGAGCTAAAATGAATGTAGTAGAGCAACAAATATAAAATGTAGCTTCCTAGTCACCTACTCACTTTAACATACATAAATAAATAAGTCAAAAACAAATATTTTAGAATTCCAAAGCCTTTGTTTAGCCCTGAATAATAGCTTCAAACAATAAAAAGTGAAGAAATATAGAGTTATTGTGGAAGAAACACATTTTACCTTCTGCTTTTCATCATTAGCCTAATAAAGTAAGAAATGTTCCATCCTTAAGATGGATGTTGCTTACATCACAGAAGATTTATCAAGTGTGCAGTGTTTAATATGATTAAATGGTAAGCAAATAATATTTGAACACTCATTAAAACCTTTGAAAATTATTCCGAGTGCAATCTGCTTCATTTTCATGATGCAGCCTCCGTTGTCTGCATTTACATTTACTGGCATTTGTATGAGAACAGAATCTTTATCAAGCATTAACCTGGGTTTTATATTTCTCGTCTCTTATTACATATTTCCCACCTGAAATCTTATCTGTCTCTATATAGTGCAGTAATTATTTGCTGTAATGCTGATTGTGTTATGACACTTTTGTGGGACATCAAATATCAGGGGACAATTATTAAATTTCATCATGGCCCTAATAATATGATAGTGAAATATGAATATATTAGATCAAACTTGACAGCTGCATTTTTAATAAAGGGCTAAAACTTTCTTTAGACAGAGAAATATAATTTTCTTGTCACCACTGAGCAGACACTGTTTAGAATTTTTGTCTTTACAGTATTCAAGCTGGCTACCTTGTAAAAACACATGTGGATAGAGGAATGAGCTTGCTCACGCTAATAAGTCGGTTGATGTGGCCACTGCTTTCTTTGTGCCCATCCAATGGTATCTGTTTCATTTAGAGGATGGGAAAGCGTAGTGATTGGACAAGAGAAAGGTCTGCTAACACTCAACTGATCAGAATGACTACTTTGTTGTGCTTGAATGATACCAAGCAAAAACAAAGCCTAAGAGGAAAGCCAAAAGGGAAACATTCCCAAATGCCTTACAGGATTTGGAGTAGGAAAGGTCTGAGGGTTTTTGCATGTTCACAGATGGTATCTCTTTAGGCTGTTCTTTTTGGAGGGCAAATTTGGACGCCTGGGCCTATAATTAAGCAACTGTGGCTGCATTTTTTTTTTTGCATGCAAATAATTGCAGGTGCAAAAATTATAGATGCAGAGTAGATTCATAACAAGCAATTCCTTCACAAATTAACCACCAATTGCTTCTGAAAGTTTTATTGCTCCTGTGGTAGTTCTCTCTTCTGATACATTACATGCATTGCATACTTCCATGATTAATGACAATGAATTGGCTGCTCTTTGAACTTTGGCATCCTGGAGTTTTATCCTGAATGAGTGTCTCACTCCTCACTGTGTGATTTGATGACTCACTCAACTACATCCCACCTGCCAGTATCCCAAGTTAGAAATCTGTTGGTAAACACTGGCTTCACTTTCTCATTGGTTTCTGGCGTTTGGTCACTAACTGGCATTGATTTTTTGCCCTTTTATTTTACATATTTATTATTAACTTGGCCTTGGTTCAAGACTTCATCTGAACCTTGAGTTGCTAAAACAGTGTCTGAATTGCGAATATGCTTTCCAGTTGTGGCTCTTCTTCACATTTTGGTGAAGCTTGCTCACCCCTTCTCAAAATATTTTAAATGACTAAGTAGAACAAAATAGATGCCTTAAGTCATAATACATAAAAATCATTAAGTACAAAAAAGTAATCACAGTGGATTATAGAAAAATAAATTGTATTGAAATACATTTATCAAGCTATTTACTAACAGCAGTATGACATGGTAATAGGTTTTTTGACTAGTACATTAAATTTAAAAATTCTGTCAGTAATACTAATATATAGCATAATTTTGAAACAGTGATAGAGACAATTTTAAGAACAACAATTCTTTTTACCAAAAGTATAGGGGAAACTCAACACCCAAATGCAAAATTTGAAGTTTTCCTCTATCATAACCATGTACTAAAATTAAACTGAATGAAAGAACTAAATGTAGATATATTGTGAAACTGTTAGAAGAAAGTGTGGAGGCAAGCATCATAACATTGGATTTGACAATAACGGAGTGTATGTAACACCAAGGGCACAAATATTTAAGGAAAATAGAAACAAGTCTGTGTACCAGGTGACACTATCAACCGAATGGACAACCTGCAGAATAGAGAAAAGAGTTGTAAATTCAATGTCTGATATCATAATCAAATATATGATAAACTCTTATGTCTCAACTACAAAAGAGAAAAAGAGAGAGATTGGAAGTGGTACTGCCACAAAGAAAGTTGAGCTGCCACGTTCCTTGTAGCATCCCATATGGGAACACATTTGGGTGTTGGCTGCTTCACTTTCCATCCAGCTCCCAGTGCCTGGGCCCTTGGTACCCAGGTGAGTGACCAGCAAGAAGCTCCTATATCCTAGTGCCACCCTGGCCTCTCTGGATATTGCAGACAATTGGGGAGTGAATCAACGGATGGATGATTCTGACTTTCCTCCTCTGCTATACCAAGTTTTTTTTGCCAAGATGTATTTATTATTATTGGAAAGTCAGATTTTACAGAGGAGAAAGAAAGAAAGGAAGATCGTCTACCCACTGATTGACTCCCCAAGTGACCCCAATGGCCAGAGCTGAGCTGATCCAAAGCCAGGAGCCAGCAGCTTTTCTGCGTCTCCCATACGGGTGCAGGGTCCCAAGACTTCGGGCCATCCTTCACTGCCTTCCTAGGCTACAAACAGGGAGTCAAAAGGGAAATGGTGCCCATATGGAATCCCTGAATATGCAAGGTGAGAACATGAGCCACTAGGCCACCACACCAGGCCCCAACAATAGCTTTTAATTGAATCTTGTGAAAAGTTTTTTTTTAAGAGTGAGTAGAGCCACATATAAATTTTTGCAACAATGATATGCAAATGACATGCAAGCATATGGAAAGATGCTCAACATTAATAACCATTAGAGAAATGAAATAAATCAAAACCATTGAGAGATCATCTCCCACTATTGACTACTAAGAAAAAATAAAAGAAAGGAGAGGAAATGAGATGAAAAATGGAAATCAGGGAAGGCGGGTTTGTAAAATGTTGCAACCGCTGTAGAAAATAGAACAGTTGATTATCAAAAATTAAAAATAGAGTTCGCGTATGTGGTCCAGCAGTCCCACTTCTGGGTGCACATCCAAAGAAATTGAAAGCAGGATCTCAAATATTTATATATCTGTGTTCATAGCAGCATTATTCACAATTGCCAAGAGGTAGAAGTGGCCCAGATGTCCAAGAAGAGATGAATGGATAAGGGGCATATGAGACATGTGCACAGCAGGGTGTCATCGCCTATCAGGGAGGAAGTCTCGCCACATCCCACAAATGGATGAGTCTTCCGAGTATTATCCCAAAAGGAGGAAAGTCCATCACGGAAAAGCAGATACCGTGTAACTACAGTTATTCGAAGTGTCTTAAATTGTCAGACCTAGACAATGCAACCTAGAATGGTTATTACTAGGGGATGGGGGTAGGGAGAATTGTGCAATTGCTGTTAATTGGGAATTTTGTTTCTACTTTGCAAAAAGTTCTGGAGATTTATTGCGCACATTGAAAATATACTTAATACCACTGAACTATACACGTAAAACGGTTAAAAAGCTGTTTTATGGCATCTGCTTTTTTCAGTCACACTTAAGAATGAATAAGTAAATAGTATTTTCAGATGATTAAACAGCTGAAGTATAATATAAATAGTTCATTGTTTCTGTTCATTAGAGTACCTCTGATAATGCTAATATTATGCCATTAGTCCCTACATTTATAATTCGTTAAAAATGTAAATATATTAGTGGCAATAATAATGGAACATTTCTTCATTCAAGCTCAAGAAAGACTTAAAATCTACCCATAAACTTTATGGGGTTCAAGACTTCATGGTCAGCAACCTGTGTGTTAAATTATTCTCCTAAAAATATCACATGGCAAATACCTGCAAAACTCTCTTTTAATGGACTATAACCATTGCTGTGCTAAAAAAATCTTTCAGTGTGAGCAATACATTTAGGGACAGCTCTATTATGTATTGTTTTGTGGGACATAATGAATAGATAATAGATATTTAAGGACAGGTAAATAAATGAAATTTATTTAGTTAATGTTTTAGTGTATTTACTGGCTCTAAAAAAATACCCAAGAATAATTTACAAAGTATGTAAGTTTATTTCTTCATTACTATGGAAAGGCAAAGTCCCATCCAGACACTGGCTTTGGTCTGAAGTCTGTGAGAACCCAGTGGCATCCTGTGGTGGATGGGGACGCTGTTCTTCATGTAGTACATACGGGGAAAGGAGCCAGCCCGCCCCGGAAGCTCCACATAGCGGCCTTACGTTGTGAAGATGGAGTTCTCAGGATATATACACTTTTCCTTAGTTCCCACCTAGAGCACGACTGCTGAGGGATGACGTCCCAACGTGAGTCAGAGTAGCCAAAAATAATCTAACTGTAACAGATAATACGCAGGGAAAATAGGAAAATCTAAGTTATATTTGTCTTCTAGCAATCATTTATCTATATAATACATATAACAGATATATAATACATAAATATAGAATAGTATATATAGCATTCTAACACTCATGG